CAACAAAGAAGAGAGTTATGGTGTTGGCCAGGGTGACTGATCTTGACTTCCAAGGGGAAATTGGAGAACTCTACCACAAGGGAAGTGAGGAAGAATATGTCTGGAATACAGGAGCTCCCTTAGGGCGCCTCCTAATATTGTCATGTTGTGTAACTAAGGTCATCAGAAAAGTACAACAACCCAATCCAAGCAAGGCTATTAATGGCCCAGACCCTTCAGGAATGAAGGTTTGGGTCACCCTATCAGGTGACGGAGAACTACAACTAGCTGAGGTGCTTGCTGAAGGCAAAGGAATATGGAATGGATAGCAGAAGAGGGTAGAAAGAAACAACCGACTACAACCACATGACCATTTACAGAAATGAGGACTGTAATTGCTATGACATTTCCTCCATATGTTGCTCTGAATACATTTGTGTGTGCGTTCTTTCTTCTGTCTCTCTTATTGCCTTATCAGGCACCAGAAGCTGTGTAGACTTTTTTTTTTTTATTTATTTATTTTAAAGATTTTATTTATTTATTTGACAGAGAGAGACAGCGAGAGCAGGAACACAAGCAGGGGGAGTGGGAGAGGGAGAAGCAGGCTTCCCGCCGAGCAGGGAGCTCGATGCGGGGCTCGATCCCAGGACCCTGGGATCATGACCTGAGCCGAAGGCAGACGCTCAACGACTGAGCCACCCAGGCGCCCCCTGTGTAGACTTTATATCATAGTATTTGTTAATTTTACATTATAGTATTTAAGTTACTAGATATCAAGGAGGAGATCAAACATTACTCAAGGACTTTACCTCCTCTTTTGGGAAGAGTTAGTGTGTTTTTAGTTGTTCGAAGAATAACTATCATGTTTGGCAGAATTATGACCTTGTTATTGTCTTTCTTTGGAGGCTAAGTATGGTTTAAGGAGATGCATACCGGTGCCAAGTTAACATGGGCTGGGCCTGTGGTGGATAATTTCTGTGTCAACTGGACAGGCCACAAAATGCCCAGATTAAACATTTATATCTGGGTGTGTCTGTGAGGTTGTTTCCAGATGAGATTAGCCCTTGAATCTGTGGACTCAGTCAAATAGAATCCCCGCCCCAGGGTAGGTAGTCCTCATCCAATGCCCTGGGGGCTTAAATAGAACAAAAGGGGAGGAAGAAGGAATCCACACCTTTTTTCCTGCTTCATTGTTTGAGTTGGAACATCTCACCTCATTTTCTCCTGCCCTTGGATTGGAATTTACACCATCAGCTCCCCTGGTTCTTAAGCCTTCAGACGGGAACTGTATTATACTACAGACTTTTCTGAGTCTCCAATTTACAGACAGCGGATTATGGGACTTAGCCTCCATAACTACGCAAGCCAATTCCTCATCATAAAGGAATGAATGAGAGAAAGAAAGAAGAAAGAAACTGGAATACAGGAGCTCCCTTAGGGCGCCTCCTAAAGAAGAAAGAAAGAAGAAGAAAGAAAGAAGAAGAAAGAAAGAAGAAAGAAAGAAAGAAAGAAAGAAAGAAAGAAAGAAAGAAAGAGAAAGAAGAAAGAAAGAAAGAAAGAGAAAGAAAGAAAGAAGAAAGAAAGAAAGAAAAAGAATTTCAGGAGAACCTTATGTTAACAATTACTATTAAACTCAGTAAAAGTTGTTAGTGTGAACTTTAAAAAAAAAAAAAGCCAATTGCTTTCATTATTGGTTTGAGTTTTGTCCTAAACAATTATAAAACATTCCTCCTTACTGGGGCACCTGGGTGGCTCAGTTTGTTTAGCATCTGACTTCGGCTCAGGTCATGATCTGAGGGTCCTGGGATCAAGCCCCACCCTTGTCAGGCTTCCTGCTGGTGGGAGAGTCTGCTTCTCCCTCTCCCTCTACCCCTCCCCAGCTCATGCTTTTTCTCTCTCTCAAATAAATAAATAAATAAAATCTTAAAAAATAAAAAAAAACTCCTCCTTGTTGTATAACAAATTTCCACAAATGTACAGATTCCCTTTCAGACATTCTGTGATGTTCCATTAGACTATTTGTTTATTCTTGTACCAACATCATATTCCATTAATTATTATAATAATTAATATAATCAACAACACTTTGATACTTGGTCTGGATAACTCCTATTGTACTTTTAAAAAAATGTTCTTGGTTTTTTTGCAACATTTCTACTAATATATTAACTAGAGGATCACTTTGTCAAGTTGTTTTAAAAAAATCACGTTGGGGTTTTTACTCTAGTTTCATTGAATTTATAAATGATTTTTTTAATGAGCTATAATCTTTACCTTACTCTTTCCAAACATAAACATTATTTCTCTGTTTATTCAGTTCTTATTTTAGACCTTCAACAAGTTTCTTCTTTAATCCACAAAGGTCTGGCATGATTTTTAGGTTCCTTCCTGGGTGTATTGTAGGGTTTGTTTCTTTGATTAATTATCTCTACCTTCTATTATTTCTGATTCATTATGAATAATGTGTAGAAATGTTGTAAAATTATGTATACCCAGCAACTCTGATGAAAGTTACCTCATCAACTTTATTGAGTGTGTTCAGTTGTTATGTAGGAAATGATACTATCTGCAAATAATGACAATTTGGTATCTTGCTCTCCACTCTTACATACCTTATTCCCTAATCTCATCCCCCTGTCTCATATATCCTTGAAAACTAGCAGTGACCCTTATTCTGTTTCTGACTTTAGTGATGATATCTCTGAAAATTCAACTTAATAGGTTTTGCTACAGTTTCAGGTAGATTTTCTGATTTTTTTAAAAATAAATTTCTATCCTTTCATTTCTGTTCTTAATTTTAATAAAGAATTAGTGTTGGGGGTGCCTGGGTGGCTCAGTCGGTTAAGCGTCTGCCTTCAGCTCAGGTCATGATTCTGGGGTCCTGGGATCGAGCCCCGCATCGGGTGGTCCCTGCTCAGCAGGGAGCCTGCTTCTCCCTCTCCCTTTGCCCCTCCCCTGCTCATTTTCTCTCTCTCTCAATCTCTCTCTCTCTTTCTCTCAAATAAATAAATAAAATCTTAAAAAAAAATCATGTTGAACTTCTATGAAAGCTTTTTAAACCTTCATGAATTCTAATTTTAACATTTCATTTAGGATGTTCCCATCTTTGTTCAGAGACAATGACTTTGCCTTTCAGTGATCTTTTCTTGTACTGTCCATATTTGGTTGCAGTAGCAGATTTTTGCTGACCTCGTTGTAATAGGTGTCTATTGCTGCATAACAAATTGCCCCCAAACTTAGCACCTTAAAATCATAAACACCATCTCCCAGTTCGAGGATCAGGAAGCCAGGAGTAGCTTCACAGGATGATTCTGGGTCACAGTCTGTCACGAAGTTGAAGTCAAGCTGTGTGCTAGGACTGCAGTCCTTTCAAGACTAGACTGGGGCTGAAACTCTGCCTCCAATTTCCCGCTCGTGTTTGTTGGTGGGGCACAGTTCCTCACAGGCTGTTGGCGTGACCCATTGTCTCTTCACCCCGTGGCCCACTCCACAGATGGCTGAGTGTCCTCCCAACACGGCAGCTGAGTTCTGCCAGAGCAGGTGATCTGAGAGAGGGCACGTGCTCCCCAGATGGAAGGTGCCATCCTTTACTCATCTTGTCTCATCAGGACATAGTTACCTCTTACTCTGGAATAGTTTATTGGTCACACAGACTCACTGCACAAAACCGTCGGAGGGGCCACACAAGGGCGGGAATCCCAAGAGGTGAGGATCACCAGGAGGCAGCTCAGAGGGCGGCTACCCCACTCACAAAACAAATAAAATGGCGCTCCCTCTTTTCCCCCTTCCCTCAAACAGTTAATTTAATACATCCTGTTGCTGCTCCTGGAACATTGGTTGAATGTAGTGCGTGGAGTGTTTTTTTTTAGATTAGTGAGATTTTCGAGGAGAGGATTGAATTACAGTTGTGTTTTGTCCTTTTTCTGTGTCACTCTCCACTCAAGTTCTCTGCTTTCTTTGGAATCTGAAGAACACAGAGAAATGGGGAGCCCGGTTCCCTGCTTGCTCTGAGCTCTGGGAGTCTAGCTCTTGTTCCTCTTTTTGCTCCATGGACTCAAGAACAACATCATCCTCATGTGGTGACTGGCCAGCAGCAGGTCATAACGCGACCCACCCTGACAATCCCTCTCACTGTGGGGAGAGGCAGTCTCGTGCATGCATCCCCCACTCAGCCGCATAAGAACGGCCTTGGACCTGGAATATTCACTTACCAAGAGATAAAGAGCTCACAGGCCTGTGCCAGGTTTGTGGCTGTGTGAGGGAGTACCTTCCCCCGTTTCAAGCTTCCCTGTATGCCCCTCTGTTCTGCGTAGGTGTGTGTGCCATATGGCATCTGAAGAACCACACTGCAGTATCTGTCCTCCATGAGGAGGGAATGGGGCCTCCTACCGGGGCTTGAGAGGGGTGTGTGGGGGTAAACGGCACTGCATCAGCTTCTGGGAGAGATTTGCAGGCCATGGGAAATGGAGGCCCAAGGTGGAAGCTGATCTTGCTGTTCCTTTTCTATGTAAGTAAAGCATTGTTTTACCCAGTGTTCACCGCACTGTGCTTTCCTTAGAGACTCGGATACCAAGACGCCATGGGCAGACGTGTTTGGAGTCCTCTTTCAGGACCGATAATCAGTGCATGTGGTTCTGCTCAACATTTATTTTAAGATAGAACAAATAGTGTCTTGGGAGAGAGACGAAATGTAAGAAGCTCAAAATCACCACAGAAGGCAAGTATCCACCATTTTTCAAGCCTGCTGTGGCCTAGCAACTTGCTATTCATTTCATACACATTGTATACCCCAGTGCTCCAAACATGGTGCCACTTTGCAGGTCAAGAAATTAAGATGTATGAGATAAAGTCATTTGTCCAAAATTGCAGAGCCGGTATGTTCAGACTCATGATGTAGATTCATCATGGCCCTGAATCCTCTTCCTTCCACTCTGTATCTATAGGAGGGAGGCCTCATAGCCACATACTGCCTCATGACCTCCCACCCAATTCACAGCACCAGCAAACCACGGAAGCAAATGGACAGAAAGAAATTTGCTCATTTATTTATTCACCAATCAACAGGCATTTCCTGAAAGGCTACTGTGTGTCAAGCTTTTCCTCAATGGAGATATTGGTGGTAGAACCAAGTTTTGACCATAGAGTGCCGCCCCATTGCTCCAAGTCCGGGAGCAGAAAGCAGAATTCCCAGGCCACAGAGTAGGAATCCAGAGCCTCTTCCAAATGGCAGGAATCAGGCTATGAGAGAAAATCAGATCAGGGCTTCAATACAGGAACCAGCCAAATTATCTCCCCATTCTTCTTCCCCCAAGAAACCCCCCAAGACAGAGAAAATAGCAAGGTGGTAGCATTGTCAAAAAAGTCTTGGTATCAGGAGACTGAATTCAAGTCTCGATTTTACTGTAGAACTCTAAACTCAGAGCATTGAGCTAGATTATCCTCAAAATCCATTGATCCTCTGGGCTTTGACCCTAGATAACATGCTGGAGATGATCTTAAGAAATACTTAGCGCACACAGTGTTTTACAAAGCACTTTCAATTTCATTATGCCCATTTTAAAGATAAGGAAACTGAGACTCAGAGAGCCATATGCCCAGGGTCCTCACCCAGAGGGGTTGGAAGAGAATCAAAGCCATGAGTGATCCTACAGAAATCCTGGCCCTGGGGCCTGGGGAGCAGTGCCCTTGAAGGACAAGGGGGCTTGGCAGAAGCTGTTCTGGGGGAGGGATCAGGAGTCCCCCTGCTCATATGCCATGGCTGCCAGGGGCTTGCGACAGAGAGGACTGGCGGGAGGGAGATGGGCGGGCCCAGGCCCCTCCTTACCTTATACAGGGGCCACGCAGGCTTTCCCACACACGCCCCTACAGCACTTGAAGTCACTCACACACTGGCTGTCGGTCTCACAGTAGTTGGGGGGATTGAGCATCAGACACTGGCCAGTGACCACGGGACACCTGCCAGGCTTCACTTCTACTGGTGAAAGTAGAGTCACAGGTCAGAGGCTTTGTGCCTTCTGCACCACCCTTGCCTCCTGGACCCAGCCCCAGCCCAGCCTTTGCAGGGAGAGTCATCTCTTCTCCATCCCCATGACCACCTCTTCCTTCCCAGGGCCTCTGTATCCCCTCAGGGCAGGATCTGGGTCTCCTCTCATATCTCCCTGTCCACGCAGGTGACCAGTTGTCCAGTACTGACTGGCTGGCTGGCTGCCATTTGCCTGCTTTTACCTGAATGGCCAGGTGACCACTGCCCCAAAAAACTGACCTCCTGACAGACTGGCTGAGTAAACTCCTGTCTGGAGCAGTGTGACCCTGGCCACCTGACAAATTTGACTCAACAATTCCTGGAACGGAGGAGACCTGGCAGAGCCAGCACCCAGGGCTGTCCCCCTAGGTGCTGCATTCTCAGGCTCACTCCCTCCCCATCAGCCCTTCCACCTCCTCACTTGGGTTGAAGACATTAACAGGATCCAGGCATCTGAAGCCGCAAATATCAGGGCAACAGATCTGCTTCTCTGGACACTGCCAGTCACTCTGGCACTCAGATTGCTCATAGCCAAAAAGGCACCGAGAAGATCGTATAGAAGGGCAGGCTCCAGGTTTCAACGCTGTTGAAGAGAATGTCAAGAGTTAAGGAAGGAGCTGGGTGCTAAGTAACCATCCTGACTCCTGGACAAAGCACCACTCTCCAGCAGAGACCCTCACCCAGATGACTGTCCACAAAGTGCAGAAGGAAATGCTTATCTGACTTCCACCAAGAGTGACAGGCTTGAGTAAGCCACACACACGGGCAGATCCTGGAAAAGGGCAGAGGGCTCCCAGCTAAGGTTTCCTACCCCCAGGGAAAACAAGGCTCCACAAAGGCAGAGAGGCAGTCTGGGGGTAAGGGAGATGGAGAGAGACAAACAAAGGTAAATAGAGCCAACAGGACAGGTTGAGAGCTAGAGCCAGAGGCAGAGACACAGAGACTGAAGGATAGAAACAGAGAGATGGGGAACAGGAGAGAGCCAGCGACAGATGACTGCAGATTCACAGATAGGGTGGAGAGAGAGAGAGTTAAGACCAGAGGGAGTGGGGCCTGGGCTGACTAGATTCTGGTAAAAAAGCACATCCCAATGCTCAGAAGCCCACACAGAGACCTTGAAGCCCAGATGGACATGGGAGGTCTCTTGAAACTAAGCTGAGAGATCAGAGCCTCTAGAAGGAGACACCCTCACTCCACCAGGAGCCCCCACCTCCGCCCTGCAGCCGAGATTGTGCCAGGGTGGCTTCAACTGACCATTTCCAACACCTTCTGCAGTCCAAGGTGCCAGGGTTCCCAGGACAAGAAGAACCAGAGGGAAGAGGCTGCTGGACTGCATGATGAGAGGAGGTGTAGCTCTGAAGGGCAACGCCGAATCTCATTATTTATACTTTTGCTAGTGGGTGTGGCCCCAACAGAATTTCCTTGGCCCCTCCCAGCTGTGATTGCACACACAGGAAGCTAGGTGAGACCAGCAATGCTAATACCAGAGGGATAGCAGCTCTTTCCTGTCTCAGGCAAGACTGTGAGACCTACAGTAACTGCCAGGGAAGAAATGGAAGAGGCTGGCCTGGAAGATGTCACAGGCTGGTAAGGAGGCCATCTCAGTAAACGGCTAGTATCCAAAAATCTATAAAGAACTTATCAGGGGCGCCTGGGTGGCTCAGTTATTAAGCATCTGTCTTAGGCTCAGGTCATGATCCCAGGGTCCTGGGATGGAGCCCCGCATCGGGCTCCCTGCTCAGCGGGAGGCCTGCTTCTCCCTCCCCCACACCCCCACTTGTGTTCCTGCTCTCACTATCTCTCTCTCTCTGTCAAATAAATAAATAAATAAATAAATAAGAACTTTTCAAACTCAGCACCCAAAAAACAAAAAAATCCAGTCAAGAAATGGGCAGAAGACATGAACAGACATTTCTCCAAAGAAGACATATAAATGGCCTACAGACACATGAAAAAGTGCTCAACACCACTAGGCATCAGGGAAATACAAATCAAAACCACAATGAGATACCACCTCACACCAACTGGCTAAAATTAACAAGTGAGGAAACAACAGATGTTGGTGAGGATACGGAGAAAGGGGAACACTTTTATACTGTTGGGGGGGAGTGCAAGCTGGTGCAGGCACTGTGGAGGACAGTATGGAGGTTCCTCAAAAAATTAAAAATAGAATTACCCTATGACCCAGCAATTGTACTACTAGGTATTTTATTCAAAGGATATATAGTGATTCGAAGGGGCACATGCATCCCAATGTTTATAGCAGCAATGTCCACAATAGCCAAACTATGGAAAGAGCCCAGATGTCCATCAACAGATGAATGCATAAAGAAGATGTGGTATGTGACTCTGGAAAACAGTATGGAGGTTCCTCAAACAGTTGAAAATAGAGCTACCATACGATCCAGCAAGTGTACTACTGGGTATTTACCACAAAGATACAAATGTAGGGATCCGAAGGGATATGTGCACCCCGATGTTTATAGCAGCAATGTCCACAATAGCCAAACTGTGGAAAGAGCCAAGATGTCCATCGACAGATGAATGGATAAAGAAGACGTGGTATATATACACAATGGAATATTATGCAGCCATCAAAAGGAATGAGATCTTGCCATTTGCAATGACGTGGATGGAACTGGAGGGTGTTATGCTGAGTAAAATAAGTCAATCAGAGAAAGACATGTATCATATGACCTCACTGATATGAGGAATTCTTAATCTCAGGAAACAAACTGAGGGTTGCTGGAGTGGTGGGGGGTGGGAGGGATTGGGTGGCTGGGTGATAGACATTGGGGAGGGTATGTGCTATGGTGAGCGCTGTGAATTGTGCAAGACTGTTGAATCACAGATCTGTACTTCTGAAACAAATAATGCAACATATGTTAAGAAAAAAGAAAAAGATCAAGATAGCAGGAGGGGAAGAATGAAGGGGAGTAAGTCGGAGGGGGAGACGAACCATGAGAGATGATGGACTCTGAAAAACAAACAGGGTTCTAGAGGGGAGGGGAGTGGGGGGGATGGGTTAGCCTGGTGATGGGTATTAAAGAGGGCACATTCTGCATGGAGCACTGGGTGTTATGCACAAACAATGAATCATGGAACACTACATCAAGAACTAATGATGTAATGTATGATGATTAACATAACAACAAAAAATTTTAAAAAAAAGAAGATGTGGTATGTGTACCACATCTTTATCTATTTCTATGTGTATATTTATATATATATATAATGGAATATTACTCAGCCATCAAAAAGAATGAAATCTTGCCTTTTGCAACCATGGCTGGAACTAGAGGGTATTATGCTAAGTGAAATAAGTCAGTCAAAGACAAATATCAGATGATCTCACTCATATGTGGAGTTTAAGAAACAAAACAGATGAACATAGGGGAAGGGAAGGAAAAATAAAATAAGATGAAAACAGAAAGGCAGACAAACCATAAGAGACTCCTAACTCTAGGAAATAAACTGAGGTTTGCTGGAGGAGAGGTGGGTGGTGAGATGGGGTAATTGGGTGATTGGCATTAAGGAGGGCACTTGATGTAATGAGCACTGGGTGTTGTATGCAACTGATAAACCACTAAATTCTACCTCTGGAACTAATAATACAGCATATGTTAATTAAATTGAATTTAAATTTTTTAAAAAAGGAGGCCATCTCATGTGTCCCTGTGAACCGTGAATGTCATGGAGGCCCCAAGCCCATTAGCCTGGTGGGAGGAGAGGGCAAGAAGGGGCCAGCTGCAAAGAAGCTATGTAGATGTGGAGCTAAAACCACAGACGTGAACTCTCAGCTAAGACTTTGTGCAAGGCCCCCCTAATTCTCACATTCCTAGACTCTCGGGAATTGTGAAACTCTCTACTGATGGCTCAATGCAATTTCCTTCTCAAAAGTTCAGATAACATATCAGTCAACTAACAGATATTTATTTCCCTGAAATATTGACACCATTCTATCTCCAGTGCCTAGTCCATACCTGATACATGGAAAGTGCTCACTAAACAATTGTCAAATAAAGGCGCCTGGCCGGCTCAGTCAGTGGAGCATGCAATTCCTGATCTTGGGGTTGTGTGTTCAAGCCCCACAATGGGTGTAGAGGTTACTTTAAAAAAATTAAAAATTAAATTAAATTTTAAAAACAGTTATCAAATAAAAAGGTGCAGAAGAAGAACTCTGCCCACAGCAAATTTCTTTGGAGCTCAGTTTTCCCAACTGTAGAATGGGAGGATACTAACAAATCAGCCCCTCTCAGAGAGTTGTGAGATTGAGGGTCTGGAAGAGCTGGACAAAGAACAAATGGATTCTATCCCTTACAACTGGAGAACACTGAAATGAATCTGAGACAATGGTGCAAAGGGCTCCCAGGCCACCAGAATCAACATGTAGCTATTAGTGCGTAATTGGAGATGCCAGAGGGATGCTTCCTACCCCAAAATCCCCTACAGGGCTCCCGAGATAAGAATATATATATATGGCTGCCATTTATTAAACTTACTCCGTGTGTTACCCCGTCTGCGGAGATTGCTTCTAATTATCAAGAAAGTGATCATCGTGTCTAAAATTCAACCCAAACTTGTCTAACTGCTCAGCCCAAGGCCTTATATCGTGTGACTTCTAGATGCTTGGGATTTCCCCATTCATTCCTCAACATGAAGGTTTGTGGAAATTCAAATAGACTCGAAAGATTCGGGCATTATCATGCAACAACGGCTCCACCGGGAACTAATTTGTAAAGTATTCTCCAACAGTCAACTGTCAGCAGATCCGGCTGTGCAGAAGTCCCTCAACGTTTACATTCTGGTGGGAAAAGAAAAGGAAGAAAATTAATGCACACTGCGTAACTAGTAAATGCCAGGTGTCCGCTCCTAGCTCGAGCTCAGTAGGGCAAGTAAGAGAAAGATGGAGCGTCTGACTTCCACCCATGGGTAATAGCACCATCAGCTCAGACACCCTGGATTTGGGCTTTCACTTCCACCCCCCGGGGTGAATTTGATTCCTCTCGCACGGGGATATGAGAGTGGGAGAATCTGTCACATTTCTCACTCTCTGCTGCTTCCTATCTTCCTCAATGCCACACTCAAGAGAGTGTCTGGAGTCTTCTAAATGTTTGTGTCTTAAAGGGTGAAAGGGGGAATGCTCCAGCTGGAATTCTCCATCTGTGATTGATTATAAAAGCCAACTCCTTTCCGCTCGGAAAGGAGTCCTGTGATCAATTAGCAATGTCTGCCATGGGCGCCATAGGAGGATAATGACATTGTGTGATCATTTCTGTCCTTTGTACCATTGGTTCTAAGTCTTTAAATCATAGACTGTTACGATTAAAAGGGATCTCAGAGGTCATCTAGACCAGGGGTCAGCCAACTACAGCCCCCCGAGCAAATCCAGACAGCTGCCTGTTTTTCTAAATAAAGTTTTATTGGAACACAGCCATACATTCATTCATTTCTGTATTTCTGAGGCTACTTCCCCACCACAAATGGCAGAGTAGTTACAGCAGAGACCTAAACTTACTGCAAAGCCTAAAATATTTACTCTCTGGTCCTTCACAGAAAACGTTTGCTGACTCCTGATCTAGACCAAACCTCCAGCTTGCAGCAAGGGACTGAGGCCCTCAGGAGCACGTACAAGCCCAGAGTTGCATAAGGAGTTAGTTACACAGCACCAGGCCAAGATCTTACTAAAGCCGGGGTACTCCCATGCTGATCCCCAGAACTTGTTTGGTGGCGAACACTTCCCCTCCTAACCTAAGACTGATTCACAAAGCCTGCGTCACACACCCTCTATTGCTTCTCCTAAATACTACGGATTCATTCATTCAGTTCATGAATTCTTACTGCCTACCAGGTACTGTGCTAGGCCCTGAGGCTGCAGTGAAGAAGACACATGGAGTCAATACCACACGGTCATTAAGAACCTAAACATGAGTCAGAGTTCCCTGGGCTGGAAGAAAGTCGCTGAACCTCTCTGAGCCTGTTTCCTCAGGGTAGTATTGGTTTCTCCTACATCACATGGCTGCTGCGGGGGGGTTTTGGCAAGCACTCAGCACAGGTCTAGTCCACTCAGAAGGGCAGATATGGTTCTCATTGTAGTCAGTACACTGGGCACACAGGATGCTGGTGGGCTTGAACGACAGCCCCTGACCTTGGACCCTGCCTGCTCTGCCCCATTAAATGCCCAACTGAGCCTTCGGGACAGAGCTGCTTCGAGGACACCTGGGGGCCTGGGCAAATATTTCCTGAGGGTCCTCTATCTATATAAACAATGTGATTAAAAAATATATTATAGGGGCGCCTGGCTGGCTCAGTTAGTGGAGCATGCAACTCTTGATCTCAGGGTTATGAGTTCAAGCCCCA